CGGGGTTCCTGCCCCTCGATCGCCGGTCCCTGCGTCTCCTCACGCTCTTCGTTGGTCGCGGTCCCCTCTTTACCCAGTGCAAACGGGGGATGCCGAGGCGGAGGGAGGCAGAGGTCGGCTCCAGCGCCGCGTTCCGGAACCCATCCCCCGCTCTGGTGTCTCCGCATCCCGGTACCTCCCCTAGTCTTCACCCGGAGCCTGCCCTCTCCCCAGCCATCTGAGGGGGTGCGGTATGGTCCCTGAGGAGAAACGTGGGGAGAACGTGTAATTGGGATGGGACACATAGTCGTAGGGGCGAGTCCCACAGCTCAGCTTGGGGCTCTCCTCTTTTCCTTCAGATGGGAGTCCCCAGCCAGTGGATTTCAGTATCTCTGTCCCAGTCCCTCAGGTCTGACCTGAGGTTGGGGTGGGGCAACGAATAGATTCATGTGTCTGTTTTTCTTGCTTACCAGCCTCCCAGAGGCATCACCAGAGGGGTTCCAGGGAGCCAAGGAGAAGGAAACTGAGAGAATAAATACTTTGCAGCTACCACCCTGGTCCAGGCTGCCAGCGGCACAGCCTCTAAGGGGAAGAAGCTCCAAGCCCTTTTTAAGCTTTGCCCTCACCAGCGGAGTGCCTCTGAGCAATGCCCCTCTTCCCTCCTGTGTCTCTATGGCCAAGGAGGCATCCCCATTTCCCCGGGGTCACTGTCACTTGTCTATTAAGCGCTCGTTTGTCAAGATCTTGTGCTAGGAACAGGGGGAAAGTGTAAGACCTCCCTCCTCTCCCTGGAATTCCTCTCTAGGGGCCCCCAAGAGGCAGTTCTCAGCTTCTTCTATCACCTCTTTCATGGCCATTGGCCAGTTTTCCCTTGGAAATCCCACCTGCCCTTAGTAACCACTTTGGACCCATGAATGTAAGACCCTGCAGGGCCCCATTGCTGTCCTCAGCTTCTGAAGGGAGGTGGCAGACTTGCACTGTGCTACACAGATTGAGGACCTTAGTGGGATTCTAGGAAAGCACATTTCATTGGGGGACTGATTCCAAGCAGGGTTCTGATAGTAAGAGCTAGCCCACTGTACAGTGGCCTGCCTGGAGAGGCAGCAGCAATCACCTCCCCTCATAGCAAACCCAAGCGGAGGCTGATGGCCAGTGATCAGGATGTGCAAGGGAGAATTCCTGCAGCTAGAAGGAGTTACACCTTGGTTATCTTCAGGGTTTGTGGATCTTTTACACCTGTACTGCCTTGTGGGATAAGGTGTTTCTCGCCCATTGCATGTGCTGGTATTATTATTAAGAGTAATAGTATTAAAGGAATTATTAATAAAAGTAATTAATAAGAGTAATAGCTTATTAATAAGAGTAATCATGGGTGTTATTATTAATAAGAGTAATATCACACGCTTTTCATGTACTAGGCACTGGCTACACACTTTTTCCGTGTATCAGTTCTCAACATGACAACCGAGAGATCCTCCTCACACAGACATCAGATCACTCTTCCACTGCTCAAAACCCTGCAGTGGCTCCCATTTCACTCAGCATAAACACCAGTGGCCTTGCAATGGCTGACAAGGTCAAACAATCTGCCATTTCACTCTCCGCTTCCCCCTCTACTTTCCTCTCCTTGCCTTTTCTGTCCTTTTCCTGGCTCACACTCCTCTAGCCATACTGTCATTCCTGCGATGCAATGCACGGGACATGCTTCCACCCCTGGGCCTTTGCCTGCTGTACTTTCTGGCTGAGATGCTCCTCTTCCAGATACCTGCTTGGCTAACTTTGCTGTGTTCTGGTTTTGAAGTCATCTTCTCAATGAGGCCCACCTGGGCACCATTTTAAATACTGCAATCTGCACCACCCCTCCAATATCCCCAGTCCCTCATCCTGCTCTTCCTTTTCATTTTTCCTTTGCACTAACCATTTTCCAACATATGGTACAATATCCTTATTTGTGTTTCTTGTTCAAGGTCTGTAAAACTCTTTGTTTTGTTCACTAATGTGTCTCTAGCACCCAGAACAGGGTCTGGCACAGAGTAGGAGCTCAGGAAATGTTTGTGGAGTGAATGAATGACCTCATTTTATCTCTATGACACTCCTGTGGGGTAGGCATTGTGATTTCACTCCATTTTATGGATGAGATGACTGAAGCTCAGAGAGCTTATGGAACTTGCCCAGAGTCAGACAACTAGTAAGTGGCTGAGTGAGGCTTCAACCCAGGTCTGTCTTACTCTGGGGCTCTGGGGTCTTAGTTCTTAAACAAAACACCCAACTCTTTCCTACTCCAGGTGAGACTTTGGTCCTGATACCTGGAGTCGGTGTAGAGAGCAAGGCTCCCTGCCCTTGACTGACAGCAGCCAGAAGGCAGCCTCAGCTAAACTTGCAGTCTCTTCCCTGCCTGTTCAGCTATGTATCAGAAGGGTCTGTGTGTGTTTCTGACCACCCCCCGCCCCTGGTATACTGTGAGGGCAGAAGCTGGACCTTCTTCTCTGTGCCTTTAACTCGCAGCTTGGCCTGACCCATAGTTCGGGCCCAGCAAATGTTCGAACTAGGAGCACCATTAGAACTGGGGAAGGAGCACTTTGCCTTTCCTCTGCTGGGGGTTTCTCAGTGTGCAGGACAGAGATTTAGCCCTTTGATCAGTTGAAGGATCAGTGGGCTGAAACCAGGCTGCAGACCCTGCCAGTCCTTGCCAACGCCTGGCAGCTCCTTCTCTGCAGAGGAGCCAGGTCCTCCTTACTGTGTCCTGGTGGGATGTGGTCTCTCAGTGGGAGGCTCTAAAGAAAGTGTCTGTGATGGAGGATGTGTGTTACTTCTCCCAAAGGGATATTTCTCTCTGGGGACACAGCCATTCAGCTCTCCCAACTGCGAGTGTCCCCTGGGCTTCTGCAAAGACATGTTGTTTAGAAAGAATCTTGGTTATGTGAAGTAAAGCAGGTTTTCCCCTGATGGCTTGTGAGAGCATTTCACAACTGTCTTGTTTCCAGTCCTGATTGTTCATCAATGGGTAGTGACAAGGTTTTTCCCTTCCCATCTGTATTGCTCTGTTTTGTGTTGCTATAACAGAATTACCTGAGACTGGGTAATTTATAAAGAAGAGAGTTTTATTTGGCTCATGATTCTGGGACAGCTGCATCTGGCATGGTCCTCAGGCTGCTTCTACTCATGGTAGAAAGCGGGTACAAGCAGATCACATGGCAAGAGGAAGCAAGAGAGAGAGAGAGAGAGAGAGAGAGAGAGAGAGAGAGAGAGAGAG